GTGACCATCAGTACCATTATTGCCCTCGGAGCAGACAAGAAAGAAGGGAGAAGCCTCATTTCAATCTGAGTAACATGTCCTCTTAAAACAGAGAGGTTTTAAAATTTGAGAGCTGAGCTTGACACCTGGATACTGACACCAACTCTACGCCTGTTTGGAGTACACTCACTCCAGGCCCTCGGAGCTCCTTCACACACCTGGATTCTGATGAAGCCTGGTAACTGCAAGGGTAGCAGGAACCTGAGGTCCATTCCCGGGGCCCCACTGATTAACCAGGCTGCCTCAAAGATCTCTGGGGCCCCGCTCCCCTTCTCTAAGGGATGGGGGATGATAGCTAATCGTGGTCTGTGTTATAGGCTGAATTGTGTCCCCCCCCAAAAAAATTCATATGTTGACACTATCTCAGAATATGACCCTATTGGGACATAAGATCTTTATGGAGGCCATCTTGTTAAAATGAGGTCATGAGGGTTGAAATCAACCTAATATGACTGGTGTCCTTATAACAAGAGGAAATTTGGACATAAAGACATAATGTGAAGAGACACAGGGAGGCCACCTACAGGCCAAGGAGAGAGACCTGGAACAGATCCCTCCCTCCCATTTAAAAAATGGGTTCCCTCTGAAGGAACCAATCCTGAAGACACCTTGGTTCGGACTTCTGGCCTCTAGAACTGTGAGAAATGGGGGAAGGGCAAAGGACAAACATCAGAAAGAGCAGATAAAGTCTAAATCACAGAGAAAAATAGAGTGACGGACACACAGCAGACAGGGAACTCATACCGGATCCACAGTCAAGGGCTCTTCAGCCAAAGCCCTCTGCTGGGGTGGGCTCACAAAACACATTTTGAAAATACATCCCATATCAGGATCTCCAGGGCTGGCAGGATAAGGCAAATACACTCAGGTGCATCTCTCTGAGCACATCCCACTGTGCTCCTTTTTGAGCATACTTCCACAGGTCTTAAAAACACCATGCCAAACACCCAAGTCCTAACCTCCTTGCTCACCAGGGAAAGGAAAGGTCAATTTATCACACACACACACACACACACACACACACACACACACACACACACCTTTTTAGAGTAGATCTGACTTACTGGATCTTGAGGGATTGGAATGTCTTTGGTTGGTGGAGAGCTGGGCTTGCTCAGAAGCAGCAAAGGGTCTACAAGGCCAGGATCTGTAAAACCCTTAAGCCAGGTCATCTTTGACTTCACAAGAGCTGTCTGGAATGAGCTAGAAGAGCGGCTCCATCCAAGGTCCCCAAAAAGAACTCATTCTCTACAATGTCCCCACTGGTGATCAATGCAAACTCTCGGTGCTCAGGGTCACAACTGATTAGTTCAGAGGTAATGCATAGAATAACTAAATCCTCTCAGAAGAGGAAATTGCCTTTTTTTAAAAAGATGACACCTTTGCCTCCCAAGAGCCCCATCTGCGTCTGGAGCTCCCTCTTCCCAGGCACCAAGATTCAGCCTATTTGTCAGCAGCTGAAGCATATGTCTGAACTTCTAAGAATGCCCCCCTACCTTTCTCTGTGACAGGGACAGAGAGTGAGACATTAGATACCATTATCTAGATTTATTTACATAAAATGCCTGGAAAATCATCACCCAACCTGGGCCAATCAATAAAGCCTGCCAGCAAAGTAGAATATACTAATTTGCAGCCCCGGACCAGTTCAGTGCTGCTTTCAGGTTTGCCTGCCTGAGCTCCACTTACCAGCCTGGAATGCCAGGCACTCCAGTGAGCACGCAAAGCTTTCTTTTCCATTAAGCAAAGATCAAAGAACAAAGATTACAAATGGCAAGAAATTCCCAGGGAACATACCCATGTCAGCACTCCGAGCTCCAGGCGTGTTGGCAGGGCCTGTAATCCTGCTCAAGGTGCACAGAGCCACCTGGGCCCCCAAGGCCCAGCTCACCGATGTGCTTCCTGGGCCGTGTAATAGGCTCTGCTATTCAAGCGTCCGTGCACGCATCTTCGGGGGCCCTCTGGACGCCCACTAGGCCGTTTAGTCTCTGTTCTTGATTTCAAAGGTGGCTCCAGGTCACCTATCCCAGCAAAGATGGACAGGGAATGTCAGCAACTGCCCACTCACATACTTTCACACCAGCTGAGACAGAGTTCCTTCCCTCACCCTGCAGGCTGCATGGTGACAGATTCCCAAAGAGCACATCGCCTGAGCACCAAGTTGGATGAGAGCTGGGCTGGCCCTCATATGTTCTTTACCTGAGACCACATTTGCTCAGGAAGACATTTCCCACAGCCAAGTGTCTGCTTGGCTGAGGGAAGATACCATGACAGGGCAAGTGCCCATCGGGTAGAGGCAAACAGCCTGCCAGGTACGGGCCTGCTGGGGTAAGGCGTTGGTGACAATTAGCTGCTTACAGCTGGGACACCAAAAGATTCAGCTGTTCCTCCATGTAAACTTGGATGGTCCCCTAAGAAGCAGAAGGAACAGAGCAACACCACCAGAGCCAACAAATAGTTGCTGGATGAATGAAAGACCCTTTAGTGTGAGTAGGCCAGGACTCCATGCTTCCCTGCTAACTATTCAGGCGTAGGACACGCTGCCCCATTTCACGCAAAATTTAGCAGAATACATCAGGAAAGCGGGTCCTACGACACGAAGCTCCTGTTGCAGTAGTGGAAGGTTTAACGTGGTCACTAAGGTTTACTTTACCTTAACTTCCCTCTGAGTGCTACAGAGCAACCTGTCCTACTGCAAGTCAAACCCCGCTCCCTGCCTCGAACACTGAACCACCCCACCTTGTGCACATCTTAGAACAGGTGTGCCGGCTCTGTGCCCGCTCAGAACTACATTTCCCAGAATTCCCTTTTCTTGTGTGTTTCCTGTTAGCATGGGCTCCAAGAAAAGCTCAAAGATAAAGTCAGGGAAGAGCAGTAAAAGAGAGTTTAGCAGTTCTTCAAAAGGCTGAACACAGAATTACCATATGACCCAACGATTCCACCACTAGGTATGTACCCAAGAGAAATTAAAACATATGTTCACATAAAACATTTATACACATGATCAGAGCAGTGTTATTCATAACAGCCAAATGTGGAAGCAACCCAAGTGTCCATTAAGAATGGATACATGAAATATGGTTTATCCATACAATGGAATATTATTCAGTCATAAAAAAGAATGAAGTGGGAATTTCCCGGTGGTCCAGTGGTTAGGATTCCATCCTTTCACTGAGGGGCCCAAGTTCGATCCCTGGTCAGGGAACTAATATCCCACAAGCCATGTGGCACGGCCAAAAAAAATGAAGTACTAATACACGCTACAACATGGATGAACCCTGAAAACATTATGCTAAGTGAAAAGATGCCACTCACAAAAGATCACATTTTGTATATTTATATGAAATATTCAGAATAGGCAAATCTATAGACAGAAAGTAGGTTACTGGTTTCCAGGGACTGAGGGGAAGAGGGTAACAGGTACGAGATCTCACTGGGTGATGAAAAGTTCTGGAATTCGATAGTGGTGATACATGCACAACTTTGTGATTACACTAAAACCCACTAAACTGTACAGTTTTAAAAAGTGAATTTCCATCATATCAGGAAACTAAAAAAGAAAAATCACATGATCATATCAATATATGCAAAAAAAGCATTTGACAAATTCCAACACCCATTCATGACAAAAACTCAGTAAACTAGGAATAGAGGGAACTTCTTTAACTTGATAAAGACTATCTACAAAAAAATACAGCTAACCTCATATTTAATGGTGATAAACTCAAAATTTTCCCACTAACATCAGGTACAGGGACTTCCCTTGTGGTCCAGCAGGTAAGACTCCATGCTCCCAATGCAGGGGGCCCGGGTGCAATCCCTGGTCAGGGAACTAGATCCCACATGCGTCCCACAACTAAGAGTTCTCGTGCCACAACTAAGAAGCCCACGTGCTGCAACTAAGAAGCCCACATGCCACAACTAAGACCTGGCGCCACCAAAATAAATAAATAATATTTAAGGGAAAAAAAGATCAGGTACAAAACAAGGACATCACCTCTCACCACTATTCCTTTTGAATATCACACTGAAAGCTCCAGGTAATGCAATAAGACAAGAAAAGGAAACAAAAGGCATACAGATTGGGAAGGAAGAAATAAAACTGTTTGCAAATGAAATGACTGTCTATACAGAAAATCCTGAAGAATTAACAACAACAAAAAAACCTCCTGGAACTATTAAGTGATTACAACAAGGTGCAGGATACAACGTTAATATATAAAAGTCTTACCAGCAATAAACTTGTAGAATTTGAAATTAAAAACACAATACCATTTACATTAGCACCCAATCAGTGAAATACATAGGAACAAATCTAACAAAATATGTATAATATCTATATGAGGAAAACTACAAAGCTCTATTGAACAAAATCAAAGAAGTAAAGAAGTGGAGAGGTATTCCATGTTCATGAATAAGGCTCAATATTGTCCTGATGTCAATTCTTCCCAAATTGATCTGTAGATTCGACGTGATTCCAACCAAAATCCCAGCAAGTTACTTTGTGGATACTGACAAACTGATTCCAAGGTTTATATGGAGAGGCAAAAGATCCAGAATAGCCAACAATACTGGAGAAGAGCACCAAGGTTGGAGGACTGATGCTACCTGACTTCAAGACTTACTACAAAGCGACAGTTATCAAGACAGTGTGGTATTGGCAAAAGAACAAATAGATCAGTGGAACAGAATAGAGAGCCCAGAAATAGACTCACATAATCAAATGATCTTTGACAAAGGAGCAAAGGCAATACAATGGAGCAAAGATAGTCTTTTCAATGAATGGTGCTGGACTAACTGGACATCACACAATCCAACAATCAGGCTCTTCAGTATTTACCCAAAGGAGATGAATACATATGTCCACATGGATGTTAACAGCAGCTTTACTCATAATTGTCAAAACTTGGAAGCAATCAAGATGTGCTTCAGTATGTGAATGGTCAAATAAACCGTGGTACCTATCCCAGTTTGGAGCTATTCGCAAATGCTGGGTTAGCAATTGGAACAGGGGTGAGTGGAGGAGCCTGGTGGCCACCTCCCTGTGCCCGGCCACCACGCACAAGTAGCAAAGGAGATTCAGCTTGGCTCGGGAGGCCCCTGTGCTCTTCTCGGGGGAGTCGATCTGTGAGCACACTTGTTGCAGAAAGTCACTCCAATCTTGGTCTTCTAGAAATACTAATTTATCCACTGAATGTGCTGGTAGATGCAATATTTTTGGATCATATTTAATTGGTGGTTGTTTCATTATCTTCGGATTGTCAATAATTGGGGTGATGACAAGATCTGAGTCTGTGTAGATAAGCTCTCTCATCCGGGTCTCCAGGTCCTGCTGACTCAGGTGTCCACTTGTAATTTTGGTCAAGGGAGAAGTCTTCTGTGGTGAAATTTGAGTCATAGCCTCACCAGGATTTAATGCCACTGCAGTGCTAGTTCTTGGAGTCGGACGAGAACTGAGAAGAAACATGGACTCATTCAATGGACCCCCAAGAGTGCTCTTAGGCCGCAACTCAGACGGATTTTCTAGTCTGAAGGACTGACCGGGCTGCTCACCACTCTCCTCCCCTTTTGCTTGTCCACAATGAGGGCTCTTGAGAAGCTCCTTGGAATCTTGTGACCCAGAATACTCCAGGTTTCTGCTGACACTGGAATCCTCGTTGCTTGAGTCCTGATCTTTTCTAGTGAAAGCATCCTTCCAAAATGAATGCTGCAGTAGTCCTGCCCAAGTTAATCTTTTCTGAGGATCTTTTTGAAGTAAACCATCAAGCAAATTAATAAAATCTGAAGAAGCTTTAGGACGAGAAGAATCTTTTGGAATAGGTGGCAAAGGATCTTCATAAAAAATCTTTTCAACTAATTCTGAGAAACTTTCTGAGAAGAACGGAGGTTTTCCTGAAAACATTTCATAGAGCAGGCAGCCCAAGGACCACAGGTCACTGGTAATGGAGAAGTCAGTACCCCTCACAATTTCTGGAGCTGTATAGATAAGAGATCCTTTGACTCTACTTTTCATGTTTTTCTTCAGTACATTTTCCCCGCTATCACCTCCTCCTTCTTCTGCTGCCACCAATGCAAAGAACTCTTCCAAACTTTCACCTTCCACTTTGGCCAAGCAAAAATTACTAAACTTCAGTGTGCCAGGCCCTTCCAAGAGTATCTTCCCAGGAGAAATGTCACAAAAGAGAATGCCAAGTTGATGAAGATGATGTAATCCAGTAATCAGGTCAATCCCAAATTCTCTTACAACATCTTCTGGGAGGTTTTCGTCTTGAGCAATAACCATTTCTAAGGAACCACCTGTGCAGAGTTCCACGACTAGCCAGAGATGATTACTGGTTTCATACCAATCATGAAAAGTTACAATATTCTTGTGTTTAATTTCATGGGTGAGACGAACCCAATTGGTTATTTCAGGCCTCTTGCACTTATCAATACAGAGAATAGCTACAAAATTGATTGTTCCCTTCCGTCGCCCTTTGTAGACAACTGTCTTGCTTCCTCTGCCAATCTCTTCATACAGAATGAAGTTTTCCATCTCTGGGCTGACGTCTCACGTTTGATAAAATGGCAGCCTAATAGCATCTCTAGCTCCTACTAGCTCGGTGGGGAGAAGCCGCAGGTCCAGTGGAGGCCGGGCTTTGATGTGAAGCAGCATCTGGTCTTGTCATTGCTCTCTTCTCCCCCTGAATTTTCCTTCCCTGTCTCTGACTCCTGGGCCGGGGATATGTGTGTCCAGCTCCATGAGGAAGGGCTCTGGCTCCTGCAGGATATCCTTATCACCAAAGTCAGAGGCAATAAGTACAGATGTGGAGTTCAGTTCATCCTTATGGGATTCTAGCTTATGCACATGGGGTTCCAGCCTGCTTGTGATCTCCCCTTCCTGACCACTTGCCTGGGGGCTTCAAGTTCTAGCACTGGACTGAGACAGCCTTGCAGAGATGGCCTATCCAGTGTCTTTAATCACATAAGCCAAGTCCCTGTAGAACATGAATTATCTATTTATTCTGATTCTTGAGATGAACCCCATCCAATACAACAAGTAAGGGACTTTAGAGGCAAAATCCCTTTTAAAAAAGGGATAGGTGGAGAGGCTCACACAAGATATAAAAATCAGCCAGCACAGATTATGGCATATAGTCAAAACTCAGTAAATATCAGCCAATTTTAAATGGACAGGGTTTTTGTGAAGATGAAAGAATTAATGTTTGTGAAAATGTTTTGAGAACTATGAAATACTATTCAAATGCCAGTTTTTTTTTCTTTGCTACTTTAGAGCTATTTTCTAGTTTTGTTATTTTTTTAACATCTTTATTGCAGTATAATTGCTTTACAATGGTGTGTTAGTTTTTGCTTTATAACAAAGTGAATCAGCTATACATATACATATATCCCCATATCCCCTCCCTCTTGTGTCTCCCTCCCACCCTCCCTATCCCACCTCTCTAAGTGGTCACAAAGCACCTAGATGATCTCCCTGTGCTATGCGGCTGCTTCCCACTAGCTTTCTATTTTACATTTGATAGTGTATATATGTCCATGCCACTCTCACTTCATCCCATCTTACCCTTCCCCCTCCCCGTGTCCTCAAGTCCATTCTCTACGTCTGCGTCTTTATTCCTGTCCTGCCCCTAGGTTCTTCAGAACCTGTTTTTTTTTAGATTCCAGATATATGTGTTAGCATATGGTATTTGTTTTTCTCTTTCTGACTTACTTCACTCTGTATCCGGTTTTCATTATTTCTACACTTAGTGATGTTACTTATATTATCAGTAATATGGACAAAATCTCTTGATGTATCTGAGGAGACAAGTTCTAACTCTTTCAGATTAGTAACATGTCATTTGGAAAGCGTATTTCTGTACCAAATGCCACCTTCTGTGAACTCCACCTGTGTGCTCTGTTCTGCTTGTGCTAAAGGCTCACACATGTTCCCAGACCAATCACAGCACGGGCAGGGTATGCACGGCTGCCTCCTGTCTACTTCTCCTTCCCCCAGTGGGACCTGAAATGAAGCCCTGTTTCCTGAACTGGCATCCAATGGCCAGATCCCACTGTTGGGCTCCTACTCTATGAACCAAATAGTCTTGTTTCCAAACACACTTGATAGCTAGTGTCCTGGGAGAGCTGTGGAACCAGTCACCCTCTTTCTTCTCTCCAACACAGGATAAGCCCACCATCTCCAACCCAGTCCCTTCTGTTTCATTCTTTGCCTGCTATTCTACTTCCAACAAATACTCCTATTTGGGCTGGGGTCCTGGGGCCATCCTCCCCAACCCACAAGACCTGACATTTTGTTGTCTTCTTACGGTGACTCTCCTGGAATGACTGCTACTTCCCACTAGGCTCTAGAGGATTCCACTGCTGTCTTTGCAGCCACAGGATGGAATGACCTGGCACAGTCCACTTCTAGAATTAGGAATGAGACCACTCTGCCCCTTGGGGATTGTGACCAGTCCATTCAGGTGCCCTCTCCCAATGCAGCCCAAGAGAGGCCAGGTTAGTCCTCTGGAGTTAACTCTCCCTCCACTCGGCCGCAACCTAGCAGATGGAGCCATAATGCCTTAGATCCCAAGTTTACCTTGGTTACCTTAGTTTTAGTCTCTCAACCTAGAAAGACACCGGAGGTAGCCCCAGGGAGGTATCTGTGCTTCAGGAAAAACATTCAGTGATTGATCCTGATTCAAACCAACCAACCACAAAGGACATATTTAAAACAATCAGGGAAATGTTAATATGGGTATTAGATGGTATGAGGGAACCATTGTTAATTGTTTTGGGTGTGATAATTGCAGCTAACAGTTAGAGATTTATGTTGAACTACTTACAGGTGAAATGATATGGGATTTGTTTTAAAATAATGCAGAAAAAAATAAATGGGGGAAAGAGATTAAAACAAGATGGGCAAAATGATGATAATTGTTAGATCTCGGTAAGGGTGTGTGGGGATCAAAAAACTATTCCGTCTATAGCAGAAATTAACACAACATTGTAAATCAACTATACTTCAACTTAAAATTTTTTTTTAACTATTCTCTCTATATTTTGTACTGATCAAAATTTTCCATGTTAAATTTTTTGTTGTTGTTGTTGAAAACATACAGAGACTTTCTACCTACAGCTGAGTTTCTACCCTATCAGTGCTCGTGAGGACCCCCAACTCCAGTCAGGAAATAAGAATCCAAAATGGACAGAGAAAATCTGGGTTTTCTCCCAGGAACATGGCACCAGGAGCGAATGAACCCAGAATCCTGGAGTTCTCTTTTAAGCTTACTCTCCCTGGATTCTAAAAGCTGCAATTTATTGACCTTTTAGTGGCTACATCCAATACTATCAGACTCTAAGTGGAAGTAAAGGCTAGAAATAAGAATGCACAAAGCAGTTCAGATATTTTTTAACAAATTGACTTTTAGTATGTCTTGAAATATATGTGTAATATCATAAATGTATTTACAATGAAAGACTAATTACTGTTTAAGGAAGCACTGAAACACGCTATCAAGTTCAAACTGCCCTCAAATGTTAATAAACATATAGGCAACAAAAATTACTATCCATTTTAGATTTGACCATTAATATGAAATAGAACCCCAACCTGCACTGTCAAACAGAAAATTTTTCACTCTTTCAGATTATATTGTTACCCAGTAAAAATATTAGTTCATTTTGATTCCTAATGGAGTTTTCAAGGGGTCCTAAGCCAGAGTTAGGATTTCCAAAATCATCCTGAAAAATTTCACCTCGTCTTTCTTAATAGATATCATTTCAACTTTCTTACACAGTGCTGGAAACTCACCCTGCACAGTGGATGGTATATGTGCGTGGAAATCCTCATCTCTTTTCCTGTGAGATGACAATCCAATTACGATACCATCAGCCCCTCTTGCCCAATGGTCAATGAGTCATTCAATCAGCAAGTAAGTATTGAATTGCTATGATGTTTCAGGCACTTCCAGAGGCAGAGGCTTTAAGGAAATGGGCATATTCCGTGACACAGTAATGAAAGCTAACATTTGAAGCGTATTTTTGCAGCTTACAAAGTACAAAGAATAGAACTCTCTTACTATCTGAGCGAGTCTCTGAACTGCAGTTTTCTCATCTGAAAAGGAAGGACAATATTATCACCCAGCTGAACAGTTTGGGGGAGTTTTTACGTTTTGGGGGTTTTGTTGGGCTTTTTTTTTTTTTTCTTTTTTGGCTTTTATTCAAAAAGTAAAATTGTTGAGCAACCACTTTGCGCCAGGGGCTATATTTCTATTGCTATCACAGACAGTTGCTGTAACGATCCTATGAACTGTGATAGTACCTAGCACCCAGCCTGGCTGAGCGCAAGCCATTCACTACCCATTCACTAATTTCACTGGATTCTTTCCCGAGACCCCCTCCTGGCCCACGTTCCCAGCCTGCCTCTTTGGCAGTTATTCAGTCTCCTTTCTGCCACTCTGCCTCAGGCTTCGAAGTCCAGTCCACCGTTGGAAGTATCCAATGCCAGCACAGCACCCTGATGGGCCGGGCTCCCACCAGCACTGCCAACGTGACCCAGACAGGGTGGTAGGCTGTGGAACTGGAGAGATGAGGAACCAGTCAGTTCCACTGTAGTGAATTAGACTAAAACTTTTAACTGCTTCTGATGCTGCTGAATTCTTGGGAACCACTTGAATAAGTAGTGCTTTGTGTTTTCTCATTCTTGGCAAGGCTGACCCCCAAAGAGGGCTCCCTCAGAGCCTACAAGGGGGATGGGGGCGGGGAGAGGCCCTGAATGGCTAGGCAGGCTTTCCCATTGGAAACCAGGAGTCCCACCCCTCAGCCATTAGTAACACCAGTCCCCATTTTCCCTGTCACATTGTCTTAGCTCTCACTTCTGACCAAGGAACCCCATTAATTTTCTGTGATGTACATTCCAAATGCCATCACCTCGGTTCTTTGAAATTCAAAGAGCTGGATTAATGAACCACAAACTTCAAGCAAATTGGCTGTGTAATCCATCACATCTGACTGTAGCTTTGCCACTGCCTCGAATTCCAAAGAATAGCAGAAATTTCCCAGGCTGCTTTTGAAAATGAGCACAGAAGCCTGAAACAGCAGCCTATACTGCATTCATCCTTTCTAGAAACGTTATGTATCTTCTGTGTGCTGGAAATTAAATGGTCTCATTCTCCCCCTGGTATTTTATTGTTACAAATTTAACCTGTTCAAATGTTATATTAAATTCCAGTCTTTTCCAGAATAATCTACATTTAATTCCTCATTCTGCCAACTATTCAAAATATCCCTCTTGGCAGAAAAGCCATGTGAATTGCAAACTCTTTTTAGAGTTTGTTGAAGTCTTAAGAACACTACTTACCCATGTACTCAACTGAGGCCCTTTTATTCCATTTCATTTCCCCAAACTCCTTCCATATAATGTCAGTCACAAAAAACCAGGAGTAGTGACTGGCCACAGTCATTCACCTTTCCTTCAGCGGTGAAAATGGCATTAAAGTCCGCAAATGAAAAAATATATATCAAACTAATTACCGTCTTTTCCTCCAAAGCAAA